CTGGCCTACACAATAGAGCTCAAGTGTCCCCATCAACAATACGCAATAACATGCAACAAATAGTGGAAGACAGACAAACTACAAGTGGAACAGCACAAGAAAAAACACCCACAAATAAAATGGCAGCCAGCAAGAATGGCATAGGCCCACTCATCATGGAGGAAAAAGCAAAAGTGGAATTGGAGACAATTCAAAACACAACCAAAAACTGGGAAGAAGTAAAAGCATACACAGATGAATCAGTTGAAGCACTAGGAATACATAGATACAAGATAGGTATAGGATGGATTGCAAACAACAAAGTAACAAAAAAAAAAGTTGAATTCAAGGCAAACATCAAAAACTTTCCATCATCAACAAGGGCAGAACTTATAGCGATACTAAGCACACTCATAGTACTACCAAACAAAGCAAATGTAAATATATACACAGATAGCCAAGCAGCAATCCAAAGTATCGAAGGTGAAGAGAAGGAGAACAAAAAATATACACATACACCGAACTGGATGACAGTACAACATATCAAAAACACTATCAATGAAAGAATATGAAAAACAACACTCATCAAAATCAAAGGCCATGCAGGAATCACAGAAAATGAGATTGCAGACAAGCTGGCGAAAGAGGGATCACAAACGCAAGACACACAGGAGCTCCAAATTAACAATCAAATAAAGAACACAAACTACCATATGACATGGGAGAATGAAGCACTAGACACAAATTTGGATCAATTCATCAGAAGACAACAAAGTGCAACATGGCTCGCAAAATGGATAATACAAAATAGACATATGGCATGGATAGCCAATGGACTGGAAAAGGAGATAGACTGGAAAGCATCCCATAATGCCCAGCAACCAACCAAACTAACAGGCAACAGCATGAACAGACAAGACCACAAGAGCAGAAACTTTAAATATAAACTACTGAACGAGAAACTCCCAGTCTTTGAGAAAATGAGAGCAAGAAAACCTAATCTGTACAGCCAAGCCAAATGCCCCACTTGTGGTAAAGAAAAAGAGACGTTCAATCACATGATACACGAACATTGGGGAGAAAAGATCACAGAAGAATATAACAAAGCCATAAGACAAGTGCACGGACAAAAAAGAAAAAGAAAAAAGAAAAAGAAAAACAACACAAAAAACATCAGATGTATGACTCAGAAAGAACAAGAACACTCATAGTCAAGGCAATATTTACAAAAGAAACCACAAACTACATCAAAAGCAGAGTCGGATCACAAATCAAACATACATGTGAAGCAATTACAAAACACATGGAGAAAGCAATGCTAACATGGTGGA